GAGAATCTTCATTCTGTTAAGGGTCAGGAAGTTGGGAGTATACCAATCTTCTGAGGTTTCAAGGATGAGAATCTTCATTCTGTTAAGGGTCAGGAGGTTGGGAGTATACCAATCTTCTGAGGTTTCAAGGATGAGAATCTTCATTCTTGAGAGAAACAAATTTTTAGGAGCTTCAGTTGTTCGTTATTCTGTTGGTGGCTGTAACTTCCAACAGGTGATGAAGGAAATTTTGATGACGACCGTAAATTCTAACATGTGATGAAGGAATTTTTGATAACGACCGTAACTTCCAACAGGTGATGAAGGAAATTTTGAACGACCGATCAATTTGAAATGTAATTTGTTTTGTAGAATAACTCCTTGACAAATGTTGGGGAAATAAACCCATGACTGTTGATCTGCTTAGAGAGATGATAAACTTCTCGAGGATGCTTGAATTTCTTTTCAGAAAGAGTTCGGAAAGGTTCATCACTGCCCCTAGTATCAGATGCTTGTGGCATTACCAGGAAGCTTGGATTGCGCGTAACCCTTTGTTGAGATTGACGCTTAAATGCCCCAAGTGATGGTGAGGGAGACTTTCCCCAGGTTATCTTGCAATTGAGAGATTTCTTGAAATCTTGACTGGACTGCCCCAGGTTCACTGAATTTTTGAATGATTTGTTGAAATCTTGACTGGACTGCCCCAGGTTAACTTTGAAAGATTTGTTGAAATCTTGACTTGACTGTCCCAGGTTAATTGGACAATACCGAATCAAATCCCCTTTTGTTGATAGGAGATTTTTGTAACGGGAATGTCATCCCACTTGAAGTGATTTTATTCACCGAGAGAGTTTTCGTTTCTACGAACATTTACTGTTGTGAATTTCTTCGCTGTCAAACAAATAAACATGTGCAAATAATGATATTCAAATAATGCAAAGTTTATACTTGTCTCGAAGTTTTGAAAAATGCGTTTTTTAGCAGAAAACTTTTTATAAGAGAAATTCAACACAAGATTTAGGGCAAAGCCTTATAGGAGTCAGGATACCTTTTGTAACAGTATGCTTTCGAACTAACCCATGCTTCAATTAGGACTTTCGAAGGGTTGTAACGTGGCTTGGTTCACAGTTTAAGAAACAAAGGATAAAGGCTCAAAGTATGTTTGTACCCACCCGCTCTTCGTGATGTTCTACAATCCTAGACTCAGTTAATTGTGCATCGAACTTTAATCGAGTTTGAAACGACATTTCGGTGATGGTCCACACCAGTTGAATTTATTGGAAGGAAGTCATCAATTTTGCAACATTTTCCATATTGTTGAGGATTTATAATGACCTTTTTCTTTTGATTCGTTATCCCTAATTTTTGTCTGACTGCTCATGTTTTCGAGATTACCGTCAGCGGGATGCCCCAGCTTTCTTAAGCCTCCTTTATAGGTTTTGGCTCAGTGGGCTTTTCTCTTTTGAGCGATTGACTGCCTATGAGATAAAGAACCATCATTGTCTTTTGGTTACAAAGGAAATGTTTTTGATGTCATTCGTTGTATTATGAACTGCAGTTTGCGACTTCAATGCGCATCTTTTGAATTATCTGAGAGACTACCCTGCCCCGGGTTTAAATCAAAGGTTTCAATTTGTGATTAAAACAAAAAACTCCTACTTCTTTGGCTCGAAGGGGTTGACTAGGGATTATCTTCCTTATAACTCCAGTGTTTTCGATTTGAAAGAAACGCCTGTACATCGTCAGCAAGGTCTGTTCAAAAGCATACTGTATGAGATTATGGTATTGTTTCGTCATCCTCCCTCTAAAGGATTGTAGCTTTTTATCAAGAGTTAAATATCATAAAGAAAGTAGAAAGCATAGTTTAAGAATAGTGAAAACGAATGTATGAATTCAAGACAAACATATGCAATGCATTAATGAAACAGAGTTTGACATCAATAGATAATTGTTTGAATAACAAAAGAAATTACAACTTGAAAATTCAAATGGAACAAAAGTCTCTTGGTTCGAATTTTGTCATTTCAGGTGGAGAACCCTTAGCGGGAGATTTTCATCTCGCCATCCGGCATGAATTCCAGCACTCCTTCGTCAATCAAGTCTTGGATCTTATTTTTCAAAGCCCAACCGTCATCGGTGTCATGTCCAGGACTAAGGGAGTGGTATACACAAAACGCGTCGGGGTGATAGCTAGGAGTATAGGTATTGGGCTTCCGAATAGGATCCCTTAAAGAGAGCAGATTGACCTCCAACAAGCGTTTCAGTATTAGAGATGATGGTATGTCAGTCTCAGAGAAATATATTCCAGACGTATTTTGCTTACGCCGATTACCCTGTTGACGTTGACGAGGTTGTTGATGGGCTTGTGACCCTGAAGCAAGTTGGGGAGCCTTTCCCTTGTTTTCTTGTCTCAAAGGAGGTTGAATGATGACTTGATCTTCAACCTTAGATGTTTGCCCCACTTGGCTGTCTCGAAGCAGCTTGTTGACGAGAACCCTGAGCTCTTCTTGTCTTTGAGCTAGGTCTTGAATGAGAGCCATTTGGCCCACCAATTGTCCCATCATCTGGATCTTCATTGTTTCCAGCTCAATCTGAAGTTCTTCCAACTGATCATTCCTGACACTGCTTGAATTCCCTAGGACCATGCCCCTTGTGAGGAGAGCTTTCACTTCTTCTTTCCCCTGAGACAGGTTCAAGAACATTTCTTGAAGTTGAGCATTTTGATCCTAGATATCTTTGACAGTCCTCTCTAGAGCCATCTCTACTGAAATAAACAGTAAGAGAATAAGGAGACCTGCAAAGGAAAACCTGTTACGATGCAATGCATGATATGTGGATGCATGTTTTCAAGAATCTCTCGGGGTAAACACAAGAAAATGTTAGAGGTCGAACTTTGATCAACATCTTTGATTGGAGAACTTTGTATTGGTGGGTGTCTTTCCACGAGAATCAAGCTCACCATGTCGAGTGGGTCATAGCCCCTGATTCAAGTTGTTGCACTTGATCTTTGACGATGTTTGTTTAGAGGAAAATGAAACCTCTTTCCCTTTGGTAGACGTCTGGTTCAACGTGACCCTGCATTAAAAGATCCTCGAGATCCTTGAAATGGTTATTGAAAATGCTATGGTATGATGTTATGATGTTATGTATATGTATGCAAAAGTAAGCAAGTGTATATACAGACAATCATATTCACACAAAGCAGACAAGTCCTTAGGTTTAGGCTTGCATGGGGTTTGTAGGTAAGTACCCTCTTGAAGTTTATTGGCTCAACCTGTCCTATAAATAGTAACCGGGTTCTAAGGAGCTTAATATCACGGGATTATTTTCTGTGTTCATTGTTTTGGTTTAGCCACTTAACTGGCGACCAAAATATTCCAAGAAAATAATCTTCAATGAGTGTAGTATCGAGTATCTACCAACTTCGGACTGCACCAAAGTCGGTCATCTCACTACCCCTAAAAAGCCAAGGTGGTCAAGTAAGGTTCTAAAGTTAATTAATGCTTCACGACACCACGCGGCGGCCCTGTACTCTCCTTGATTTAACTCAAGGGTTACCGGTACCAACCAAAGTGCCACATCAACGTAGCTACTGTTTCAACCATGTCGGTATACCCCGCACAGTTCCCTCACAGTTTATTGCTACTTACCTAAAAAGGTATCCCAAATCCGGGTGTAGGATTTAAAACAAACCCAAGCAAGGAACCAAAAAGTAAAGCAATCAAAGCAATCAAGGTAAGCATGTAAAGGTGATCTAAAACCCTAAGGTAACCCCACTTTTAGAAAGAGCATATCCCCAGCAGAGTCGCCAGTTCTGTGATACGGTGGGAGAACTGACTTGAGATTTTGCGTTTGTTTTCGCACTTGTTCAGTTTAGCAAGAGTCGCCACCGACTTTTTATTTTATCCTAAGGAAAGGTCAAAAAGCACAGGAAAGACCTTTGAGATGTTTTCGTGAGTTCGGGGGGTAGGTTATGAAAAGGGAAGGTGCTAACACCCTTTTCATCCATGGTTATCCATGGGCTCTTAGTTACTTGTTTTAGATCACTTGTCTTTGCTTTTCAATTTTTTGAAATGGTGCTTTGTGTGTGTGGTTTTAAAAAATGTTTTGAAAAAGATGCCTTGTCTAGTAATGTCCAAGTATGTATTACAACCTAATCGAACTTGTCGCATTCTCAATGTAAAAAAAATATAACAAGATATAAGAATCAAAGAGAATCAAAAGTATTGTATGTGGTTATTTACAAATGATCAAATGAAATATTAACCTAATGAAAATTAAGTGCTTTTTATTATTTTTTTGTTTTTGTTAGTTATATATAAACATAAGGTTTTTAAAGAAAAAAGAAATAATTATTTATGTTTAAAAAATTCTATTATTTTCATGTTATTAAAGGAAAACAAGATTAATTAAATTAAACTAAACTATATTTCTTGATGTTTTAATGATATTAATCAATATTAATAAAGAGATAATTATCTCTAAAAAAATGAACAAAATTTAATTAGTGTTATTAACTAAAAAGGAAAAAAACTAATTAAGGTTAGTTAGCAAAAATTATTAAGTTAATAAAAAGAATTTTGAAATGAAGCTTTGAATGGGTTTGGGCCTAAAAAATAAAAAGAACAAAATTCAGGGGGAGGGGGTATGCGCCAGAAATATTGGGCTTCAGAGAGTTTTGTTGGGCGAAGGCCCAAATGCAATGTTTAACAAATTTTTAGGGTTTGTTTTTCATGTTCCCAGAATTATGTTTACATTTTTGTGAACGGCGCCGCTCCTCTCCTCTCGTCTTCATCCTCTTTGTCTTTCTCAAACCAAAAGCAACTGATGTCCTCTCTCCAAGCTTCCAGTCACCAGGGTACTACCTCCACCCTCTCCTCCCCGTGATTGTACAAGGCGGCAATTTAAAAAGGTATTGTTCTTTTTGTTCTTGACGCGTTTTAGGGTTTAGATTTTACTCTTGCATGTTATCGTTTCACAAAGTTTTGACCTTTAATGTTTATGATATGGTGATGTAGAAAATGAAAGAGGAAAACCGATACCTTGGTGGCTTCGTTTTTGGGGAATGGACGGAGGGTGGAATGGCGGTGCTCTCAGGTGGCCGGAGGAGGGACGAGCGTGATGACGCTGCTTGCTTACTTTGGGTATTTCTGTATATTTCACTTGATGATGACGTTATTTCTGGAAAACAACACTTGCTTTGTTCCAGATTTTCTCTGAGTATTGGCTTTTGATGATGATTGATATATTCTGAAAAAGGTTATTTTAGTGTTTTTTTTTATTGTTGATGATGAATGTTATTTCTGAGACTTGCTTGTTTCGAAACTCTTCCTCTTAGTGGGCTTTGCTGATTCTGATGATGAATTTATTCTGAAGATTGTTGTTTGTTCTTTTCACTTCTGACTTCTTCCTCTTCTTTGGGCTTTGTTGATTCTGATGATGAATTTATTCTGAAGATTTGTTTGTTTTTGTTGATTTATGTTGATGGTGATGAATGTTAATGTGTTTGGAAACAAGCTTTGAGTTTGTAAGGCATGCCTGGAGGCCTGTGAGTTCTGCTTTTTGGTAGGCTATGCTGTTGTGTTTGTAGTTATGCAGGCTTATGCAATTTTGCTTGATGCTTGTATTCTCAAGCAGTTTTGCAGGTGGTTGAGCTTTGGTTTCGTTTTGAAGGATTCTTGGTGTTTGCAGTTTATGCAGGTTGAACTGGCTTTAGGCAGGCTTGAAGGCTTGTTTGGTAAGGCAGGCTTAAAGGCTTGTTTGGTATGGCAGGCTTGAAGTTTTGGTTTTTTGCAGGTTTTGCAAGTTTGATAACTTGAAGGTCTGAGTTTGTTTGTTTGTTTGGTACAGGCAGGTTTGAGACTTGATATGCTTGTGATTTTTTGAAGCAGGCTTATGCAGGCTTGGTAACTTGTTGTCTTTTGGTTTTACAAGTTTGTTGTTTTAGCCTTTTGGGAAACCAGGCTTGGGCTTTTGGACAGGTTTTAGTATTTTTGTGTTTTGGTAAGGCAGGTTACTGAGTTTGGCTTGCACCTTGGATGCAGGTTCAGGTTTGCTTGCTAAAGGTTTTAGCAGGTTACAGGTTTGCTGGCAGGTTGTGATAACTTGCAGATTTGCTTGCAGTTACAGTTTGTGGTTCTCCCCCCTCTTGAACTATTTTTTCTGTTCTATTTATTCTTATATCCTTTAAGCCTGCCAAAACTGCAAACCTTTTACTTCACTATCTTTCTCTCTCCATAAAGCATTTTTAAATTGCTTAATATATCTTTATTCTGAAAAGTTTTGTTGGCCAGAACATGATGAGATGTTTTGACAAGCTTGCTTGCTTGTATCTTGGTTTATCTCTGCATTGTACTTCCATATTTTCTGCATTGACAGTTTCTTGACAGCTTGTGTACTTGGTTGACAATTTTGTTTTACATTGTGAAACTCAGTTGGGCATTTCAGTTTGACATTGTGAAACTCAGTTTGGCATTTCAGTTTGACATTGTGTGCAGCCTTGTGCCTTCTTTGTGTGCAGCCTTGTGCCTTGTACCTTTGCATTTAATTGATTATATGCTTGCAAAATTATTTTACTTTCCTCTTTGTGAACCAAGAAGAGAAATCTTCTTGCGATTTGCAAAGAGGACGAGTAAAACATGATGAAAACAAAACAATCTGATTCCGACCAACAATCTTTAATGATGACATTATATTTATCTGCCTGAAAATGCTTTTCAATTTAACTGCACTGATTTCTTTTTCTGTCTTTGCAGGTAAATACCAGTTGGATAATGGAAGAAACAGTAGAAGATAGAAGACTTCAAGAGACTTAGATTTTAGATTTATTTTCTTTTCAATTATTGTAATAAATATTATTTTAAACACTGTAAATAAATTTACAGTATTCGAATAACATTTGTAACAACATTAAAAATAAATAAAAAGTCTTTGTCAGATATTTCCTTATTTCTTCTGCACTGTCTATTTAATTATTTAAATCTCTTGAATTAAAATAACTGGAAATGCATCCCAATAATTTTAACTCAGATAAAATAAATAATCAACAAACTTTGCAGTTTCGCAACCTTGTATTAACCACAATACGCCCGACATTCCAATTAATCATATGCTTTGTACAGTTAAACAAACAAACGTCCATACACCTTTCACTTCACTGATCAAACCAATGCTTCAAACATTCAATCAAAAGCCTCAACTCCTAGCCCTGATGTTTAGGTTTTGAGAAACAAACAACAATCTTGAACAAGCGTAAAACAATGTAACAGTCAATTGAAATACCGTGGATTCAAATTCTTCTGAGAAATACGAGTGAAAAACCCTAATTCCAGATTTGCCGTCAAAGAAAAGTCTGCTTGATCAATTCCTGAGCCAAACTCAACCAAATCAATAGAAACCCTAATTCTGGATGGACTGATAAGAAAAAACTGTTTGACTGATTCAAAATCAATGGAAACCCTAATTTTGGACTAACTGATAAAGAAAAGTTTGTTTGACTGATTCAAAATCAATGGAAACCCTAATTTTGGACTGACTGATAAAGAAAAGTCTGTTTGACTGATTCAAAATCAATGGAAACCCTAATTTTGGACTGACTGATAAAGAAAAGTCTGTTTGACCGATTCTTGAGCCAATCTGAAAAATCAGGGCAAACCCCAAAGTTATGATTTCTTGTGAAAAAAGGGAGGGCAAATTTTGGGGTACAACAATGGCTATATCCATTTCAATGAAAGGAAGAAAAAAAACATCTATAAGATGAGACTTTCTGACCTTATAAAACAAAAAGTAAAATGTCCCATGATTGTTAATAAGGAGCAGTGGACGTGGCACAAATGTTGAAGTTATGTTAGCTTGAGAAAGATTTCTCAGTTGGAGAAGCTTGAATTTATTAGTGGCCGGCCTAAACTGAAGTTTACTTCAGAGGCTTTTTGTGAAGCATGTCAGAAGGGAAAGATTTCAAAAACTTCTTTCAAAGAAAAATAATTTTGTTTCCTTCTCCAAACCATTGGAACTTGTGCACATTGATTTGTTTTTATCTAGTAAAAACTATATCAATTAATGGAAATAAGTACAGATTAGTTATTAAAAATGACTACAACAAGTAGATATGGGTGAAGTTTCTCTAACACAAGGATGAGTTACATTATGTATCACTACCTTTTGTATCCAAGTGCAAATTGAGAAAAGGTCTTAACATTGACAAGAAAATATAGAAAAGCACCTCTGGGCAAAGGCTATAAACACAACATGTTATTTCTTGAACATTGTCTCCATAAGACTTATTCTTGGAAAGACTCCTTATGAATTGTGGAAGAATAAGAACTCAACATTTCATATCTTCATCTATTTGGATGCTCTTATTTTATCCGGAACTCTAAAGAAAATTTGAACAAGGTTGATTCAAAAGCTCAAAGTTGTATCATGTTATGATGTTCAGAATGCTCAAAAGGCTACAAAGTATATAACACTAAAACATTCACTATTGAGGAATCATTTCATGTTAGATTTGATGATAAGCTTGACTCTGAAAAGTCAAAGCTAAGTTAATATGCTTGCAGGTATGGAGATTACCATGTCAGAATCTGAAGGTAATGGAGTTGCTACTAAAGTACAAGAAGAAAGAAGATCAGAAGATGTTTAATCAAAAGCTTATAATGATTAAACTCCTAAAGAGAATCCTGCAAAGACTATCACATTATGAGAAGATACATATAGGGTTGATGTCTGTGATAGAAGAAAATGAATGGAAGTTGACAATTCAAGAAGAATCAAATCAGCTCTACAAGAAGGATACTTAAACCAAGTATCTGATAAAAAAGGAACTCATGTTGTTGGAACAAGATGGATAATCAAAAATAGTTTGGTGATGAAGGTGATTTCATCACAGAAAAAATACATTGGGTCAGTATTTATATATTTTTTGACAAAGTACTTATAGATACCTCTACAAGTTGGAAGTTGTTCTACCAAGGAAAAGGTCAAAGTATTCCTGGTCAGATATATCTTTTATAAAAATATCTACACTCTGGATTCTGAAGATTCTCTTCATTAATTAATGTTAGACTAAATTTATATGATTGCTCATCTGACCAACGTGTACAATTTAACTATTTGACAATTTTGGTAAACTACCTTACTGGAAATGATAATTAATTAGCTCGCTATATTTAATTTATATCATAAGTGTCTGTCTAGTCTCTTGGAACTTATATATATATATATATATATATATATATATATATATATATATATATATATATATATATATATATATATATATATATATCATTTTTTGAGCTGTCATCCTTAAGATTCTCAGTTACCTGGACCGTGTCTCTTATACATTCAGTTACGTTTTCCTTTCCTCTTTTTCCAGCCTTTGATCACTTTTCCTTAGTCATTCATTTCTTTCTCTCTCTCTCTCTCCTCATGGCTTCAATAACCTTTCACGGTGATGAATATTTTCTTGAAATTATGTGTGAACGTCGTCCAAATATTCCAAGGTCAATTGGAGATAATCTGGGTCTTACTAAGAGTATTTCCGTGCAAGAATGGTCTAGTTACTTTGCGGCGCTGTTTGTACCAATCTATCTTGACCTAGTTAGGAATTTTTGGCTGCATGCCGATGTTAGGTCAAATGGAATTTCCATCCATTCATTTATTTTTGGAAACTCTATCATCATTACCTCAACTTCTACTGCAGTCGCTATTTGTTGCGCCGAAGCAGGAGTTACCATAGAAGCCTTCCAAAATAGATACTCTTTTGTTGATAGAATCCACACTATACATAATATCTCTAATGAGTATGGACACACCAATCTTGCCAATCTTCTTCCAGCTACTTCAGTTTGGTTTCAACTTGTGTTGACAAACTTTAGATCTTGACGATCAATGTTGAACATCCTAACCTATAATGACAGTGTTTTCATCTACCTCCCCATCCATCATATTAGAATCAACTTACCTCAATCCATTTTCAACTACCTAAGATACTCAATCACTAATTCCAGATCTAGGCTTCAGACCTTTATACCTTTTGCTAGAGTTCTCTCTCTTCTATTCAGAAGAGCTAGGATTATTGGAGCAATTAATCAAAATGGACTCGAGGATGTTCTTGAGGATGTTCAATGTGAAGTTCTCGAAGTTTATCTTGTTAGGAGTTGTTTTTGCTTGTTGTGTGTCTGTCTTTCTTGTTTTAACCTTGTGGTGTCGTGCTTGTTATTCCACGATCAATCAATAAAATGTTTTATTTTGTTTTGTTATGATTTTATTGGATATATGTGTGCTCAATCAATAGTCTCATTTCCATAAAGTCTTACCAAACAATTCTCGTAGATAGAACTTAAAATGGATAAATGATTTATATTTATCACCTTTCTATTTCTGACAAAGAGGGACAAAGTAAAATGATTTTGATAATATTTATTCTCAAAATCTTAAACTCAAACATATAAAATGTTGTTGCTCTTAACTGTTTGTTTGATATTTCAATCCATGAACTTTGAATAAGTTCATTGAGTATTCTAAGACAAGTTAAATATGAAGATCTTGAAGATCCTAGTGCTAAGGTTGAGAACCTTATGGATGAAATCAACTCTGATTTCATATATAAAAAGTTGTACACTTTGTGAATATATATATATATATATATATATATATATATATATATATATATATATATATATTCAAACAAATGTACCAAACACAATTGAGAAGTTTTAAACTTTCTGAAAGTAAGGTAATCATGTTTGATATCATAGTCTTCAGAAGTTGTGAACTTTTTGAAAATATGAAATTCAGGCTTAAAGCTTCAGAAGTTGTGCTCTCTTGAAAGGAAGTCAAGTTAACATTCTGATGCATGCTTTGATATAGAGATGCCACTCAAAAGATGTGCTCTGATACATGAGCTTTTGCAGCGTATGTTCTATTAAGAAGTTGTGAATTGTGTGAATGAATGATATATTGAAATATATCAAATCAAACGTTGATAGTGCTGATAAATGATGCATGGTATTATTCAATTAGGTTCAAAATCAAATTTTGATTCTTCATCAAATTCTGATAGTAGCCACGTTCTGAAATGAAAGTCAGGTGTTCTAGTCAGACTCTAATGAATTATTGTAATATACGGTGTAGCAGGTATAATGTTGATTTTTGGTGTCAACATAACTGCTCTCTTCTTTTAGGGATATGTTTCTTTGACATCAAAATCCAACATCCACACCGTATTATATACGGTTTTCATTTATATATTAGTTTATTCTCTCTCTCTTAATGTTTAGTTAACATTTATTTTGTGAGAGGTATAGTATACGGTGTAGCATCAACGTTGTTGATTTTTGGTGTCAACATAGCAACTTTCTTTTTTTCAATCTGATTCAATAAACTTTTTAGATAGTTCAAACAAAAAGGTGATAATAAATTATGATATGTAAGAAAAGATTCTTTAGTCAACTAAAATTTTTATAAAATAGTATTCAAATAATTTCATTTTTTTTTTTGACAACGTGTAAGCATGTTTGTTAAAAAAAAAATACGTGGAAGCATGAAACAAATTTGTGGATACAAAATGAAAGAAGCAAAATAGATTGTAACAGATATCCATCAATTTCTCTCCAAAATTCTATTCTTAGTCATGTCAAATTTCCACCTCTAGTGATCCATAAATCGTGGATCTTCATTAGCTATTTTCTCTTCATTGTTTTCATTGAGTCTATTCCATTACTCCAATTTTTACATTTCTCAATTCATTTCTTTCTCATTGCTGACAAAATGGTATGATTTCTCTTGTTATTTCTTTCAGAATTTTACTAGCCAAATTATTTTGCATGATAATAGAAACTGATAGCATGAAATTTTGCATGACAGGCGAACGCGGCGTCTGGAATGGCTGTGCATGATGATTGCAAACTGAGGTTTCAAGAGCTAAAATCCAAGAGGAGCTACCGGTTCATTGTGTTCAAAATAGAAGAGCAGCAAGTTGTCGTCGATAAATTAGGCGAGCCTACAGCAAGTTATGATGATTTTATGGCTAGTTTTCCGGCTGATGAGTGCCGTTATGCTGTCTATGATTTTGATTTCATAACCGATGAGAACTGCCAGAAAAGCAAGATCTTCTTTGTTGCATGGTAACTTAATTATTCATAATGTTGCACTTCTTTGTTTTGCTACATTATTAGTACTATTCTATAAGAATTGATAACAATTACTTATTTGCATAGTCACATAATTCACTACCCTACCTAGTCACATCAATTAAACTAACCAATTGCTTGATATATAATATGTAGTTTTAAAATATTTATCTTAGGGTGTTCTTAGGGTGTTCGATCTGATCAAACCGATCTAATTAAAAACTACAAATGAATTTCAAAAAAAAAAAAAATTATTAGATGTGTTAGAATGTCATTTTATAAAAATCATGCGGTTCAAATGAGATTTTAGATTTATTTTTTAAAACCGATCCAAATTGCGTGACGAACACCTCTAATTTATCCATGCAAAATATTGCATACTATTAGATGCTTCTTGGAAAATGGGGCCATGTTAAGTTCCTTGTTTAGGCCTAACGGTCTTTGTTAGAAAATCATGTCCTAATGCAATAAAACATGAAAGTAATGAAGCAATTATTTCGAGTTTGAGTTGTGATTTTTCACCGCAATTTTGATCAGATTGATGGACATCCAAAAACATACACTAAATCTAAGTTAACAGCTATCATTATGTTGATTATGTACTGGTTGTAGGTCACCAGATACCTCAAGGGTAAGGATGAAGATGGTGTATGCAAGTTCCAAGGATAGATTCAAAAGAGAATTGGATGGCATTCAAGTTGAACTCCAAGCAACTGATCCAAGTGAGATGAGCTTGGACATTGTGAAAGGGAGAGCCCTCTAAGCCATTCTTTGCTAAATATGTTCTCAAGTTATGGATTAATTCCTAGCTGTTTATTTGGAAACTTTGGGAGCCATCTTGTACTGTCATATGCATCATTCTTCCTTGTACTTAGATACCTTGTTTGGTTTTCTAGTGATTTTTTAGACTCTTGCCTTGTTTGAACTCCAAGGGTTATGTGTGGTGGGTTCATGATTAGTAACACATATTATATAGGTTGGTTTGGTTCTCTTACAAGTTGCCAATTTGACCACTTGATTTTTCACTTGAGGTTAGATTTTGGGCAATAGCTGCTACCAAAAGAATGATATGTGTAATGTCCTTTTCTTTTTGTTGGTAATGTATGTTCATTTTTCTATCTCTTTTTATTATGGAAGTTAATTGGTATAGATCAAAATGAGTTTATTGACAGTAGAAGAAATGTGATTTACATGTATGAAAAACCAATACAATCTATAAGCCTATGACCACGTTCACACATGGATAATTTTTGATACAAATTTCCCATTTGCTAACATAGATTAGAGCATGACATAGTAAATCATGAGTTTTGTTCTATATTTTGTACGTGTAAAAACTTTGGCCTACTCTAAAAGTGTTTTAAATACAATATAAAAAAAAGAGAAAAAAAGGATTAGACTGATAATGTAAAATATTTTTACGCTGTCAAGGATATGTATCCAATTCAATCACACTTTTATTTTTAAAAAATTAATATGACATAGTTAATATAAGAATTTTGATTGATCGTATGTGTAATATTTATTTACATTGTTTGTGCACTGCTTTTAAACTCAAAACTCATAAACATAGAAACATCTTGAATGAGGTAGTCTATCAGTCTTTATCTTATCTTTTTACAAAAGATTGCAGAGATCTTGAATCCTATTGGTGTGAATATTGATAAGAGATATTAGATATAAGAGATATAGTGGTTCTTTGTTGATTTTGCAGATAATCTTAAGTTCAATATAGTGTTGGGGGAGTTCACATTGGGAGCATTGATACATAGTGATAGGTGAGTGGGTTCTACTACTTATATATTATTAAGTTTTCATATTTGTGCAACTATTTACCAACTTACTCATACTTGCATTATTATTCTAACACATAAGAGACAACAGCATAACTCCCTTTTCGACAGCAACATGGAGTCAAAATTCAAGCTTGAGATATTTGTTCCATATCTGTATCTAATTAGTAATAAGAAGGAAGAGGTGATGTCTGGGAAGTTGGAATAACAATATTTGGAATTGACGGGATTTCGGGATTGCAGGCTCGTTGGAAGAGAATATGCATGTCAAAATGCAGCACCTTTTGGTATATTCTGGCTAACGCATGCCCCATTAGCGGAACAACAGAAAACATAGTGTGGTTACTGTTATAAAGAAGCAGACTCCGATTTGTTTTGATTTTGAGAAAGAGGCAAACTTTTCTATATTACTTATTCAATAAAATATACTTTTGGTCCGTATATAGACCCAATGATCACTACAAGATAAATGTTCTCCAACGAAGTGAAGTTGTGACGTGATTATCACGTGGCAGGTTGTGACGTGATAATCACGTCGCTACATAATTTTAATAATAAATTATGAAAAGTAACGTTAACAAAAGAGGAGTCAGAAAATATTTTTTATAAAAAAAGTTGCGACGTGAATTCCACGTCGCAACCAATTAATTAAAATATATATTTCATAAAGTTATAACCTGCACATGGTGGGAAGTTTGAAATTTTCAAAATTCAAGTTGTGACGTGATATTCATGTCGCAACTTTTTAGGGGAGAAAAATTGTCTGCCTTAATGTTGATTGTGCGGGACGTTGTGACGTGATAATCACGTGGCAAGGTTGCGACGTGATTATCACATCGCTGACTGTTTATATATTTTTTTCCGTTTCACAGATCTTCTCCACTTCTGTTTCTTCTTTCATTCTCTTCCTTTTCTGTTTCATCTTCTTCCTTCTACCTTTATCTTCTCCAATTTTAATTTCTATTCCACTTCTAATTTTTAAAGGTAGTCAATCAACTTCTCTAATTTTGTTTCAATTTTTTTTATAATTTTGTTTAATATTTATTCTGTAATATGATTTTGATTTATGTTTTTTTTCTCTAAGAAATTGATAAGAAGAAGATTGAAGAGGGTTTGAAAAAGATAGAACAAGAAGATTGAAGGAGATTCAAGAGAGACATTTTTGTAATTTTTTTTTTAAATTTGATATTTTTTCTGGGTTATTGATTGATTATTTAGGTTAAATTTGATATTTATTTTGTAAAAATTGTTAGTAAATTAATATTATAATTTTTATAAATGAAAAATAAAACAAATACATTTTAGAATTTTATTTTAAACGAAATGATGTATATATTATACAAATTTATTTTATATTTATTAAATTTATGGTATTTATATTATAAAACAGAATATAACAAATATTAATAATAATAATAAAACGAAAATTTATATTTTTATATATTATAAGACATAATATTTTAAACAAATAATATATATATATATATATATATATATATATATATATATATATATATATATATATATATATATATATATATATATATATATATATATATATATATATATATATATATATATATATATTAATCTGGATTGGGTCTATATTTGCCTTACGAGCGATAGGCCCAAAGACAGCGAGGGGCTCAAAGACAGCCCAAGTTAGGGATTATGGGGTAACTCTCCATCCAATCGTTGGGAGACGTGGCCCACAACCTCTCAACAGACATATCAAACTGCCCTCCGAGAATCTCGGGTCCAGCCCTATTCTCGCGGAGCAGTTGACCAGGGGGGAGTCCACTTGCTGGACTCCATACTCACGTAAACTCTGGCAGTTCCCGTTATTGGGGCTCTGTGTGGCCTAATAGTGGGGACCTTGGCCCAGCGCTGGGGCTATAAATATCCTCACTCACGAGAGAGTCAGGTATTCATTCATTCACATCTAAAACTCATACTTGCTTGCTCATTCTGCTTCTCACTTTACCATCGGAGTATCTTGCAGGTACCCCCCCCCCCCCCATCTCATTCAAGCTCTGCCCAAAGCCAGTTGTGACGGTCCAACTCTGATCAGGTTAGATTAGTGGCGCCGTCTGTGGGAATCTAAGCTTCCCCTTCTTCTCTTCACTTAAGACCAAAGCTAAACAATCATCGACTGTCATGGCTGACCAGACTCAGAACAAACAAAACGTTCGTGTCATCAACGTTAACAACAACATCACCGACAATAATGTCGTCCTCGACAACGCCGGTACCGCCGACCATAACACAGTCCCTGACATCAACATGCCCGGACCTTCTAATTATAGGGACGGGGCCACAACTTCTTCTTCATCAATCCCTCCTCGACTTGAAGAAGATCGACCACCTCCCCTGAACTATCCACCCGTCCAATTTCATGAGGTCCCCGTCCCCTGTCGGGGCAGACACCACGACCAGGGCACTATTCGCGGCGATCAATCAAACCAACTATCTCATCTTCGCCCAGGGGGAAAGACTGGGAGCACTCGAGGACGGTCAAAGGCCCCCGAGAAGACACAGGAGACCTCAATCTCCTCCCCCTCGACAAGCGGACGAACGTCCTCAATCTCCCCCGCGGAGACAAAATCGGGACATCTCTAGAAGCCCGTCGCCTCGACCACTCGGGCGAAGACTCCCCTTGGAGAGGGAACCACTCATCGACGTAGGAAGACGCGACTATGGCCCCTCACGGCAAGAACGAAGACCCCCGGAGGCAGACACGGGGGAAACCATCAACGGTCATACCGCCGAAGGAACGCTCCGTGCGACCAAGGCCACTGTGACCGCCACTACATCAGATCTCCATCCTGCTCTCCCGAACGGAGTGACGAGGACGACCCCCGTGGTCCCTTGTCACAAGCTATCATGGAGGAGCCCATTCCCACGGGCATGGAGAAGCCTCCCCACTTAAAGGAGTACGACGGCATCACCGACCCATTCGACCATATAGACGGGTTCAAAGCCATGCTCCACTACCACAATGTCAGGGGACCAATCAAGTGCCGGTTGTTCCCCACGAATTTGAGGAAAGTGGCTATGGACTGGTACAAAGGTCTCGCCCCGGGGTTAATTACCTCTTGGCAAAACCTGAAGAACCAGTTCATCAGCTCGTCCACTGCTTCGCGACGACACCCGAAGACCAAAGCAGCGCTCGAGGCCATCGTCCAGAAATACGATGAGACCTTGAGAAAATTCATTGAATGCTTCAACCAGGAAGCCATCCAGGTCCCCTGCATGGACCATATGAAGAGGTACCTGCTGGAGAGGGGGCTCCTCCTCGGCACCGAATTCAGAAAAGCCGTAGGCATCAAACCACCCCGGACGTTTGATGCCCTCCTCGAAAAGGCCAGGGCTTATATGGACTACGAGGAGAGAGAAGCGGCCAACAGAGCCCGAGACCCCAGAAACCTCGGATCCAACAGTAATCCGCGATAAGACATCGCCCCTCCTTGACGAACTGGAGAGAAGAGAAGGGATGATAAACCCCGAGACGCCCAGGAACAGAGGGGGCCCTCGGGGAGGTTCACCGAATACACTCCGCTAACGGCTTCCCGCGAGCGCATCTTAGCGGAGTGCGCAAGTACAGAATTCAAGGACGACGGCGTCAAATGTCCCCGCCCCGCTCCTTCCAAACTCGGGGTGGACCGAACCAAGTACTGCCAGTACCACCGGAGCCACGGGAACCTGACAGAAGACTGCGTCCACCTCAAGGACACCATTGAGACCCTCATAAAAGGGGGAAGACTTGCACAATATCGGCAAAACGACACTCCTTGTTGGGATGCCCGTGAGACGAGGGAAGTAGAAAAGGATGCCCGACCATCTGACGAGTCAGTTCCCATCCAAACTGTGCTCTCTGTCACAAGACCCGAGGACTTCTACGTCCCTGAACATCTGCAAGAACCTCTGTCTATGCACAGTAGGTGGGAAAACCTCCTCTCTGTCATGGTCA